GGGCGCAGCGGCGAGTGCCCCCCCTCAAGAACGCCGAGAACAAGCGGCGGCACACCTCCGCCGCCCCCTGCCCGGCTTCGCCGCCGCCGTCGTCCAACAAACGCTCCAGAGGAAACGACGGTTCGCTACGTTTCCACCACTCGTCTCGGAGCTCCTCCTCCTCCTCTTCTTCCTCCAGCTTGTTGTCATTGAAGTACCACCAGCACTCATCCAGAAACTCCGCCGAAACGGAGGATGATGAGGAGCGGCGGCGGACACACAATGTGATGGAGAGGCATCGGCGTAACGAGCTGAAGAACTGCTTCACCCGTTTGCGCGACAATGTCCCCGAGGTGTCGCACAACGACAAGGCTTCCAAGGTGGTGATCCTGAAGAAGGCCAGGGACTGTATTTACAACTTGGAGGACCAGGCTGAGAGACTGCAGACCAAGAAAGACAAACTGAGAGCCAGACAGGTGGCGCTAAAGGCTCGTCTGGAGCTCCTCCGAAGTTAATGCTCAACACTAGCTTTGCATAGTTTTTGCCGACTGATGTCGGTGAGTGTGTTCTGAAAGTTAAAGACTTTAACCATGCTTTTAACACATACTACCAGGAACTTTTACTACCAGGAAGCATTTCGTAGGACACCTTGGCCTTTGCCTGCTTCCTGCTGCTAACACAGGAAGAAAATTCAGGGAACAGTTTTGTTCTGCTTCCAGTCCCTGTGATGCAAATGTATCAACAGCTTGGTACCGTCTCAAGTTCCTGGTACTAGTTCCTGCTGTGGAGACTGGGGTCCTTTTCGTACAAAAATGGAGGGAACATGCGATTAACAATGGGGGGGGAAAAAAACAAACAAAGTTTGGACATTTCAAAGGTGGCGACTGCTGCTGGTGTTTAGTGCCATGTATGAACATTCACACACACACGTGTTGTTGTCATACCTCCCTTGTTGTAGAGATGACAGTGTTCGTCGTTGGTTAAAGAGATGATGATAGTGATGGCGATGAAGAGTGGGATGATGATGATTGTTGTGGTGGTAGTTGGATGAAACTTGAATAATGTGTTTTTTTCAGGAAGTCTTAAAAACTATAGCCATAGTAACCAGTGATCCCTCCAGTCTGACGGCTGCTGTTCTGTGTTTCTGTCAATCCCAGGGAAAGTTCCACTAACTCTTACTCTGGATTTCTTTCTTTCTTTCTTCTTCTTTTTTTTTTTTTTTTTTTCCTGTGTGCTCATCCTACGGTGTAGGTGTGGCCCCAGGGGCCAAACATCCTCTCTTTATCAGGTTCATGTGTGTCAGTGATGTGGATACTGCAAAGATCAGGGTCCACGCAGGGACCAAGGTCCAAACTGTTCTTGTCTCACAGTTCAACAGTCGCTTACACTGTTCTGTTCTCCTTAACTCTTCACATCACTGTCATGGGAGGAACCAGGAACCCAGTCCACTGAGGCACTGGTCTGGTCTAAACCCAGTTCAGCTGAATTGCGAAAAAAAAAAACCCGCGCGTCCTCATGAAATGACATAATCTGACCAGAGGTCACTCAGTTTCTCTATGGTTGTTAGAGAGTGAGGTGTTTATTCTTCAGGTTTTCTTGTTAAAATGAACTGTAAGCTGAAGATGTTGTAGAAAAGTCAGAAGAAAAAAAAAATATTCTAGATGTATTCCGAATGAGGGTTACAGGTGGTTTTAATTCAGAAGCTTCTGATTGGACTTTTTTTTTTTATATCAGATAAGATCAAATGTTTGATTTTTCACCAACATTCCCATTTTAAGAGAAGTTCCGCTGTTGTCATTATTGTTCCACGGTTGGTTCTTATATTTGTTACGATGTGGACGTCACACATTCAATGTCCAAGCTTAGGTTACCATTTAAATTCAATGGTTAATAAGTCTGACTGTTCCAGTAAATGGTGAATTTTTTTTTTTTTGTTTGTTTGTTTAACAAAAGTCTTCCAAGGAAAACAGATGAGAGTGAAGTTTAAAAAAAAAAAAAAAAAAAAAATCACATCCAGAAACTCTTTCCATCATCAAAGTAGCTCATTGGTCTATCTCTAAGGAGATAGGTGATGTCACTAATGGATATGACATCACGCTTCTCCTGGACTTCCTTCATTAATGAAGAGACGTCAACACTGTCAACTATAAAATAGTTATATATATTTTTTTGAAAAAATTTTCAACAACTGCGTTTCGTCTTCTTCTCCTCAGCCTGGTTGACAACCTACCTCAACCTGCCACAGTCTGGCCTCCGACATGTTTTCTTATTTTTGTGTTATAAAATATTGTACAGGATTTTTAAAAGTTTTTTTTTTGTAAATAAATGTTCTTTGTTAATGTAAATTATTTAGAGTTTTTTGTTTTTTTGTTTTGTTTTGTTTGAATTGTAAGAATTTAAAGATGTTCTTCAGCACTTTTTTATGTTGTCATTAAAGTTTGGATCAGAGCCAAATGCCTCTGAGGTTTTTTTTTTAATTTAAAAAAAACCCAAGTTTTTAACTCTGACAACTTTTTTTTTTTTTTTTAAATCTCCTCAGATTTATGGTGACCATTACCACTTTTAGTAAAGACAAAGCTGCAGTTGTACTTCACAATTCTTCAAATTAAATCATAACGGGATTCATTTGAATAGAAATTTAAATAACGTTCCACAATGTTGACCCACAAACTAAGAATATAGGAAAACTGCAGTACAACCTAGTTGTAAAACCTTTTTTTTTAAAACTAAATTAAACTGACAAACTGGTCTATAAGCCACAACCTATATATAGACCTGTTGAACTGTTGGTCACAGAAGACTCCATGTTTTCACGTCGGGTCTAAAGACTAACGTACCTGTGGGCCCCTGAAGGGGCGGAGCCCCCTTTCCTACAGATATGTGAATGTTTTCTCAGGTCAAAGGTCAACGCTGCTCAATTAGATGTTTTGCGGCGCGCCTCTGTCAGGGTAACGTGGGGCAGGTACACGTGTTGTGTGTGTGTGTATGTACAGTATGTGTGTGTGGAAAAAAGTTTCTGTAGCTTAAAGGAGTGTTGCTTAGTGAATCAAATAGAAAAAGTACAATATCTGACTTTAAAAAAAAATGAACTGCTTTTCATCAGTTTAAATAAATAGATAGATAGAACTTTATTCATTCTTGGGAGTAAATAAAGTATACTTGGGACTCCAGCAGAAGTACGCCACCAAAACAACAGGAAATATATATCTATACATTATATAGATATATATTGCAACTACATTTATACAACCTTAGATTTGGTGGTATATATATATATATATATATATACTGTATTTTCTGGACTATAAGTTGCGCCGGAGTAGAAGTCAAACCAGCCAAAGGATGAAAAAAAAAAAAAAAGTGCGACTTACATGAGTTGCAGATACTAGAACCCAACCCTTTTGCCCCTCTCCTATCACGGTAACACCGTTACCGTACTTGCAAAAAGTTTGCCCTTTACGACCCCCCCCCACACTGTTATCAACCATCCCTAGACTTTCCCACAAAATTATATGCACAGTAGAGTTTGATAATAGTAATATAAAACCATATTTTCTAAGAATATATTACATAAATAAATGAAATGCACGACCATGAAAAACAATGTAAAATATGTGAGAGCTGCAGCAGTTTTAGCCCCGCCCTCACAGTAACGTTGGTTGAGCAACACGATAACACCGGTACCATCTACACCGTCAAATCAACTGCAACCAAATTTGAGACTTGGCGAAAGCAGAGCTCCACTTCCAATAAGTCATTTAGGTTTCTCAACTTCAGCTTAAAAAAAATTGTTTTGAATAGAGAAACTGACTACACAGCGTGTAGGCTTGGATTTGAGATTAGCTAGTCAGATGAAGCAGAAAAAAAAAACCCCCGCTTGAGGACAGAATGTTTGTTGTGTTTTCACATGTTTTCACACATCCCGTGACCCACACCGCCACGAATTGAAATGCTATTGAGAACATGACAACATGTGTATTTTTTTTTATCTGCACAAACCACTGTATGAGTTGCTGCCACCTAGTGACTGGAGGCTTGTTACCGTTCCAACATTACAGCAGTGGTACGTACACTTAGAACAATAGTTTTCCTTCGTCTTCAGTTGTTAACTGACAGTTAAACAAGGGCACGTGGCCGACATTCATGTTGATGATTATTGTTCGGTCGAACGTTGGGTCAAATATCTGATCTGGAGCCAGGATGTGTGTGTGTGTGTTATCACAGAGCCGTGTTCATAAAACAACACAGCTAATCTGTAGTTTACTGATGAAAAGTTGTTGTTTTTTTTTTACAACATGTGAGGATTTTGTTATCAGACACACCTGCTCACACCACACAAACAAAACATAGCTGACCTTGACCTACATTACACACACTCTCTCTCTCTCTCTTGCTCTCTCGCTCTCTATTCCTGAGTTATTGAAAGTTGAGCTCCCTTTTTTTTTTATTTTTTCCCTCTTCCGGTTCATACTGTTGTCTATTGCTGCCAATGTCAGTGACAGGCTCTGACTTAACTGTTCCTCTGGTTCTGACTC